TGGTTTAACAAGATCACGAAATTTTTACTTTTCTGAACGCTGAGAAGCCTGGCTCCGACTTTGGGCTCGGGAGCCGGAGCCGCACCCAAAATTTCCGGCTCTGGCTCCCGGCTCGGAGCCGGAGCCGCTCAGAGCCGGAGCCAAGAGCCGGCTCCGGAGCTGTAGCAATCTCTGGTGGCGACAGCCCAAAAAAGCCTATTGCACGGTGCAAAAAGCAAGCAATTGCACAGTGCTGAACTTTTGTTTTCTCACAGAACACGTCGCAAAAGCAAAAGATTGGTCCGGCGACCTTCCGGAAGGATTAGTACCTTAGTTTAGAGGAAGTACTAGTCTGTCAGGAAAGTCTGGACTGATTTTTGGCATTTGCAAAAAAATATCAGGGTGCGAGACAGCCCCAAAAAAGCATTTGCACGGTGTCGGGAAAATAATGTGGATTCGTCTCGCCTTGAAATCTCGCCGAGTATCCCTTTGCGACCGCTATGCGCGGCTGGGGATTTGGAGTGCGGCTGCGACACGACGAAAGATATCTCGATATTTCCAGGGGTTGATGTGTGTGCAAAAAATCGCTCCAGCAACATATCTCTTTGCAAATTGTAATTAAAATTTGCGCCGAATCTCATAAAATTCTATTGAAACTTTTATCAAAAAAAATGTTGGAAAAATATTTATTTACAATTTTTTGACAAATTATCTGATGTATTCTGCAATCATAAATAGCATGCACCTGTTTTCCTTTTCCTTTCAAAAAAAGTTTTCAAAGGAAATGACGAAATGTTTTCCTATGTATGTAAACAAATTTCTTTCAAAAAAAGTCAACCGGAAAATTTTCGATTTGCCGATGGCCTAGACTATCGCTAAATTGAGAAATGACCGAGCAATTTAGTATGTAGAAAAAATAAAAAATACTGAAATGTTTTTCGGAGATCAAATTTTTGCGAAATTTTATGTTATCCTTGACATCTGATGTTTGAACTAGAAAAAGATACAAAAAATTGAGGGAAAACATGCTGGAAATCATTTTAAATATCGGTTTTTAATTTAAAAATAAGCCTGGTTATGTTTCAAGACAAGTTTCGACAAAAAATTTGAATTTTTGATTTCCCGCCATTTTTGGCATTCTGTTGCAAGTGTTCAAAAAAGCTTAATTTTAACTTTAATCTGTTTAAAATAGTGAATAAATAAATTGCGTTAATCAAAATTCAAGTTTTTGCTACATTTTTGATATTTTTGAACCCAAAAATTATATTATCCATGAGGTTTGATGTTTAAACTCAACATAACTCTCAAACTACAAAAATTATGACGCCAGGATTTTTTATACATTGTTTTGATATCATAACAGTATTTTTGAGATGATCTCTTAATGAAGAATTTTGAATTTTGGATTTCCCCGCCATTTTTGGCATTGTGTTTCAAACGGTCAAAAGGTTCGATTTCGACCGAAAATGTTAAAATATTTATAAAAACAGCCTTTGCAATAAAATTTTTGGTTTTTTCAAACATTTTTAGCGTTTTCTGATATAAAATTTATATTATACTTGACGTCCATCCGCTCGAAATTTTTGCAACAATTCAAAAACAAAACCCCAAATTTATTCCTCCAACCCTGACCAAAGTACATCTACTGCTATAAAAAACAAATTTCTTTCTGCTGAATGTAAGAAACTTGTCAATTCTGCGCTTTAATCCGGCTAATCCGGTGTCTGGATCAAAGGTTTTCGGAAAGTTGTGAATAATTCATTTTATTCATCATAAATCTTATGGATAATCACCAAAGTTTGTCGGATTATTACAGAAATATCATCTGAAAAGAAGAGGATCTTTGACTTTGGGAAGGTAGAATTAGACTTCAAAGAATGGGGTTGTGTAGACATAAGACTTCCAAAATTTGAGAAAACTTCAAAAAAGGATGTATTAATAATAGATGATCCTAAAAAGGATGTTTTAATACATACACAGTAGAGGCCAATTGCGAGTGTATCAGCCTGTCGTGAAAATAATGAGCACAATGTCGTCGCGCCAATCGTGTCGCTGAACTGAAAAGCAATTTGACTTTCTCTGTCACGAGTTCAGTGAGAGCACGTGTATAAAGGTCCCTAATCTAGTTGCTACTTCTGATCCCAAGCCCAAATAATACTATACAAACAACGATGACAAACGACTACACAAAACTACGACAACCAAATAACTATGCCCTAGGCAACAACTTCACAAATGAACTCACAATACTTGAGGAACCAACTTCCCAAGAGCTGACCATAGACCAATCAATAGACAAATAGTAAATACAGTAGACTTTATTGCACACAACCGCAAAAGCGGGACAAAGACAAAACACAAAATAATACCATAATAATTGGCGATTTCTCTTCCTTTTATACCAATTTGTCGGTCATTCCGTGGGAATATGCAAATTCGCACGCGAATTCGTGACATCTCGCGACACAATTCACTTACTCGGTGGCGATGCGATTTTTTTTGCGACAGAGTATTCATTATTTCCCCGACAGACAGATATAACGAAATGTCGAAGGGGTTTAGACCAAAAAATGTTTTCGTGGTGGGACCAAAAACGTTTTTTTCAAAAAAAAACTTTGCACAAGGTCTTGACTAGGCTTTGCACAAGCTTAGAACAGCGTTTTGCATGATACATGAAGAAATCATAGAGCATTGCGAATTAGAATTAATCAATTTTTTAGCGGCAAACTCGCGGAGAAGTGGCCAAAAAGAGATCTTCTCTCTGACCGCTCTCCTCAATTTTCGTTGTCTCTCGCCAAAAAAGATGGTTCAATATCTCATCTCTCACCGTATAGAGGGACATAAAATTTTCAGCATTTACTCTAGGGCTTATTTAAAGGTAGTTTTTAAAATTTCGAAAAATTTCAAAAAATTTTCAAAATTTCGAAATTTTTTTAAAAATTCAAAAAATTGAATTTTTTCTAATTAGCCTTTTGGACTCGAAATCGTACCTTACTGCTCATTATTTTTGCAAAAACGTCTCTCTTTTTCTCACTGTAGTTTATTTAATATTGAGACTGAAAAACAATCCGATGACATTATCGTAGGCAAATAATTACACAAAAAAGAAACGAAAATGAATTTAGGGTGTTGAATTACTGCCAAAATATTGTTTGAATTTCCCTTTTTTACGAGATATCATGCGTCGAATATTCGAAATGTGAAAAATAAAAAATAAAATTTTCGATATTTTGATATTTTGACCCTAAAAAAAGGTCAAACAGAAGTCAGCTGACCTCGGAAATTTTGCTTATCTCTTTATAAAGTCAGAAGAAATATTATTGTCCTGTGAGAACAACAAAAAATGCTGAAAATTCAAGATTTTTAGGCTTTTTATATCAAAATTTGTGATGGATAATATAATTAGTGTCCTCAAACAGCTTTAAATTAGAATTTGTGTGAGTGTAATGGATAAAACAGCGTATTTTACAATTAATTTTGCTTGTTTGCCCCTCCCAGCATTCAAAATACTCCTTGAAACAGAATGCCAAAAATGGCGGGAGTTCAAATTCTTTTTGTGTTTTTGTGTATTGAACGGTTCTGAAATGCGGCCGTGAAAACGAGAGAGTTTTAAACCGCATTAACTTTGTTTCGAAAAGCGGAAGTAATCCGCTGAACGCACTTTTATGTAAAAACGTTTGAAGGGAAACCGAGTCCGAAACATTGATCCGAAAAACACAAAAGTGTCACTTCAGAGCAAAAACCATAAGTCGCAGAGCTTTGCATGGCTCTATCATCTAGATTGGAGGCTGAAAATACCTTATAACTATACATAGTAATTTCAGCCAGTTAACGTAAACATATTTCCCATGGTCATTTTTTGCGTAAAAAATGATTTTTTTATCAGTTCGTCGGGAAAATAATGAGCACTCTGTCGCATCGAAAATCGCATCGCCGCCGAGAAAATGAATTGCATAGCGCAAAATCAAATTGCTTTTTTGCACGGTGCAGACGGGACTTCTTAGTCTGCTGAACAAAGGCGACCGCATAATGTGTGTTGGGCATAAGTATGTGATACAAAAGAACCCGAAGATTTTAGCTTGCCCTTCGAAGATGTTGCCGAAATATGTGGCTATTCACCGAGAGACTACGAAGAAATAGGAGAGGCTACGTACTTAAACAAAATATCAGTCTGTCGGGAAAATAATGAGCACTCTGTCGCATCGAAAATCGCATCGCCGCCGAGAAAATGAATTGTATCGCGGCAAAATCAAATTACTTTCACTTCGGCGACTTCTCGGCTCAGCGAGATTATGCTCATTATTTTCCCGACAGACTGATAGTGGGAAAACAAGTAAATTTATCACTCTGTCGGTAAAATAGTGTGGATCTGTCGCAGACAAAAATGTCTCGCTTCGTGGCAGTCGCGCACCAAATCTCGAGCCGTCGCAAGGTGACGACGGGCGACAACGACGAATCCACACTATTTTCCCGACTGCCTGATAAGCTGACTTTAATCCAATGCCGTTTTCTTTTGTCTTAAATTTTTGTTAGTGTGTCGGGAAAATAATGAGCCTCTGTCGCATTGAGAATCGCATCGGCGCCGAGAAAATGAGTTGTGTTGCAAACTCAAATTGCTGTTAACTTGAGCAACGTGATCGGCGCAGCGACATCGTGCTCACGGTTTTTTCCACAGACTGATAAGCGGACTTCCATCCAATTGTCTTTTCTTTTGTCATCATTTTTCCATATTGCATTTGGTTTGCTCTAACCTTTCCTAAAAAACATCTAAAAATATAAAACTGTCTCTCCACGCACAGTTCCGAGGGCAAAAGTCAAGTGTTTATTCAACTTTCCGCTCAGGGATTTTGAATTAAGTTCGTTTACTCAGCTGCGAATTTGATATGCACAGCCGCCGAAACCCGATGGACTTTTGAGCCCGCCATCCACGGATTACAACAACAAATCGCCTATATAAAGCGCTCCAATTGCGTGGAGAATATCACCAAGTGTTCGGTTTTGTGTGTTCATCAATAGCAGCCATGAATTCCTTGTACTTGTTGGCGTTGTTGGCTCCATTTGTCGTCGCCGACTTGATCACTCCCCAGTTGAACAAGCCCATTTCCGGCGGCGAGTTCACTTTCTACGGAGCTTCCGGAAAGGGAGCATGTGGCTTGGATGTAAGCTCCTGCTCGGCCGCAGTCTCTGGAGACCTCTTCGACTCCAGCGCCCAATGGGTACCCTCTACGCTGCCCGATGGAAGATACATTTTGGATGACCCAGTCTGCAAAGGCATCTGCGTCCAGATCGAGTACAAGGGAAAAACGTAGGTGGCTGCAGGGGAAAGGAGTGGATATTCTGAACAAGAGAAGCCTAGAAACTAAAATACGCGGGTTCCCAAACTGGTCGCTCATAAGAAATCCTCGAATTTTGATGCCAGAGACCGTAAAATGAAGTCCATTTTTTTGGGCCTTTTGAAGCTAGGGACTTTGGTGATTCTGGGAAATTACAAGCCAAGGACCTAACACATGTGCAGCAAATTATAATCCTAATACTTGACACAAACCAGGACTAAAATTTCTCACTAGTCTGTCCGCAAAGTCGCTGCTGCGACTTCGGCGACATGCACTGTGCAAAAAAAGGTTAGAGAGCAACACCCGAAAAAATCCTATTGTATCTTCTACAGGCTAAAAAATTGCACTTTCTTTTAGGATCTCCGGCATGAAAGCTTTGGGATTCTTTAAAAGTAGGGCGCACACTGGCTCCAAAAGAAATCAAGCTTTTCCAAGGACAACCCAAAAAGTTATTACCAAAAAATTTGTCTACTCTCCAAAATACCCCAATCTTTTCAGTGCCACCTTCCCCGCCGACAACAAGTGCCCCGAATGCGCTGTGGACCACGTCGACCTCTCCGAAGCCGCCTTCTTGGTTCTGGAGCCAGCCGGAGGAACTGTTGGAGTCGCGAAGCCCGCCACCATCACCTATCTGTTCTGCAATCAGACCACCATCAGCAGCTGCTAAATGAACGATGACTAGACACATTCAGCATATACAAAAAAACTTACTGCGCATGTAGAAATTATTGATGTAGAAATAAACGGCTTTGCCTGTGTGGTGGAATATTTGAGACAATTTTTTAATTTTTAGCCGGTTTATAATGTATTTACATTGTATTTTTGTCCGACGATTCCAAGAAAATCTACACAAACTGGTCAACAACTTTCTGAAAAATCAAAATCCTCCTTGCTCGGAGAAAAACCTACAGTGACTCACACCTTCCTTGCAAGTTAAAAAGCGTCGACTAACTGCGCAATTCTTACACCCTACAAACTTTTTTTTGCTTTTCTTCGAAAGCCTTGTGCTTTGCTGTCAATATTTATTCGCTGTGCTCTCCCCAACGGAATAGCCTTTATGTTTTATCAGCAACAAGTCGGCGAATAACGGATGTCAAGAGACTGATTCACCGACTGCTGACAGAACAGTTCAAGGCACTGTTTATAAAGTTTTAGCAGTCTTTCGGAGCAATTCGCCGAACATAAAAAGGGCCGGCAATCTTATATACAACATCATTCTTGCTTCAACTTGACCAAGAACTGTTTTTCATGAAGTCTTTGTTTCTCTGGACGTTATTAGTCCCATTGGTGGCGTCCAATGTCATCACAGCTAATCTAAGACGCTCCAGTTTCCTGGACAAACCTGAAACTGTCGATTTACCTGTTGAAAATGCCGCTGACACCGTTAATTTGGCCAATTCCATATCTTTTTTGAGCGATTTAGACTTTTCCGATCCAGAAGCCGCTGAAGTCGGGCGCCTGGACGAGTCCTACGATCACTTCCCCAAGGAATGGGCCCTCTCCGAAGCCATTACAACGCTGTCGAAAAAGTTGGCCGATTTCGAGCGGCTGCTCAGCAATTTGGGTCTAACCGATCTTAAGGGCGTTCGTAAAGAAGAAGGAGAAAGTTCAGCAGCTAAACCTTCCGATAAAGCCTCTTCCGACTCAGCATTCGACAAGCTGGGCCTCATTGAAGTTGTGGAGACACAAGCCGCTAGATTCGATGGCGTTGAAGAGAACGCTCGTCATTTTCAAGGCAAGGAGTCTTCTACTTCTCCATTTAACCAATTGCCCAATATTGTTGCGACCGCTGCCAAAGCTGCGGACTCTGAATTCCCCAAATTTGAGGATAAAGAGAGCTCCAGCAGTTTAAATGACAAGTTAAGTCCGTCAGATGCCATTACTGGGCAGATCATGGGCATATCTTCGACTGAAAGCCCTGCAGGCAAAAATGATGAGATTTCTATAACTGTGTTGGACAAAATAAACCTTCCTGACGTTGTTACTTCGAAGATAGCGGAGTTGGAAGCTTCCGAGCCTCTGGCGTCCAAGCCGGACGAGATGGCTCCTAAAGATGAGAGAAATAACTCCTCAGAGTCGCTATTGGACAAAATCAACCTTCCTGAAGTCATCACCGCCACACTTAAAGAATTAGAAGCCTCTGAGACGGCGTCAGATCTTCCCGAATCCGTGACCTCAACTATTCCCGAATCTGAAGCTGACAAAGTCGAGAGTGACGGTAAATCGGAGACTTTATTGGACAGGCTCGATCTGCCTGGTGTCATTACAACCGAGCTGGCAAAATTAGACGAAATCGAGAGGTCTGAAAATCCCGAACTGACCAACGAAAAGCCTTCTGAAGCCACTGAAAATCCAGCAACTCCAGAAACTCCATTGGCTTCTTTCGACATCGCTGACTTCCGCTCTTACAATAACTCCAATTCCGAGACAACTACTGACAATTTGGAGGGCTCACATCTCTCTCAATCCCCCATTCTTCCACTGTTGAACCACCCAATCTCCGGCGGTAAATTCACCTTCTATCATGCGCAAGGCAAAGGAGCTTGTGGATTGGACTGTGGTCGGTGCTCGGCAGCGATTTCTGCCCGTCTATTCGACCCTGCTGCGAAATGGGGGCCTTCAGGAGGGAAGTACATCTTGAAAGACGCGGTCTGCCTGGGAATGTGCGTCAGAATCCAGTACAAAGGAAGAAGGTGAGCTTGAGGATGATTTTTACATTGTTTCACTCTTGTAACCCCTTGGCACCCCTTGTGGACCCCTTTGTAGACACTTATTATACTATCGATGGAAAATTTTGATCCTATAGTCCGTTCGTAAAGTCGCTGGAGTGATTTTTGCCAAAAATTTTTTGAATTCCCGCCATTTTTGGCATTCTGTTTTACGAGGTTTTTTGCGCGCTAGAAGGGGTAAAACATGCAAAATTAATTTTAAAATACGCAGTTGAAAATTTTGAAGAACATAAATTAGTGTCTAAACCCCTTTGTAGACATTTATTACATTGTCCATTTTATACTAGTCCGTTCGCAAAGTCGCTGAAGTGATTTTTTGCGGTTTCACTGTGCAGATAAAGCCGCGAGCAACTGCCCAAATAAGCTTATCGACAGTGCAAACTGAACTTATTTTGTCGCACAGTGCTTGCCGCAGAAATCACTCCAGCGACTTTGCGGATGGACTAGTATCAAAATTCGCTATGGATAATACAACTAGTGCTTTCCAAAAGCTTGAATTAAAACATTATTTACACCAAAAATATGAAATAGCGTATTTTACAATTAATTTTGAATTTTTATTCCTTCTGGCTTCCAAATACCGCTTGAAACAGAATGCCAAAAATGGAGGGAATTTGAAAAAAAAGATTTGCATAATTCACTCTAACGACTATGTCAAGAAAGTACTATCATGGGCGACCTTGATCTAGTCGCAAAAAACTTGTACGTTTATCTCTTCTGGCGCGCAAAAAACTCATATAACAGAATGCCAAAAATAGCGGGAATTCAAATTTTGCGTGTAGAAATGACTCCGGCGGCTTTGCAAACCGACTAGTTTATTGATATACATGTGTTAGTCTATCTAATATATGTTTTTACAGTGCCTCCTTCCCCATCGACGACAAATGCCCCGAGTGCCCGCCGAACCACGTCGACCTCTCCGAACACGCCTTCCTGGCGTTGGAACCCAACGCCGCCGTTGGCGTTGGAAGAGATGCGACCATCACTTACATGTTCTGCAATCAGACTAGAATCAGCAGCTGCTAGATTCACGGTGCTGATGGTAAACAAATCATAATTTATGAATCGGCATTCTGACTTGTAACTTTCCATTATATTTACTGTTAGATAATAAACAAAACAAGGTAATTGAAGGGTGTAGTAGGTGAATTTAGACTAATAAGGGAAGTTTTCTAAGTACGAAGATCAAATTTTGATAAAACCTGATACAAATTTAGAATAATTTTTCGAGATTTTTAGCTCCAACGTTGTCACAAAAAATATGACATTTTTTTGCAAATTTTGTAAAGAAAAGCTTCATATCGGTTTCTACCGTAGAAGGTAATGTTACAGTGTTGTCCAATTTTTATGGCTTGGATATTATGGGTCACTACGAACTTTGGGGTCCAATCTTTGGCGACCGAATTTCCTTACCACCACTTTATTTCTACAGGCTAAGTGTCTTGCATATGTCTTGAAAAGAAATAATTCTAAATTTGTTCCATGTTTCAACAAAATCTGAACTTCGCACTTTGACATGCTTCCCCTGTAAGGACATACTAGTTGCGACATAAAGTCCTGAGAAATTTGCACAGAGCGTTTTTGTTTTTCTTTCGGATCCGTCGCGGAAATTCCCCATCTTTGCACTACATGCATTTTCCCACGAGCTTGCCACTTTACTCGCGCGACACCCGCGACAAAATGTGTCAGGACTTTATGGCGCGACTAGTATGCTGATATTCCGCCCGGCATCTCCAAGGCGTCTCTGATGAAGGAAACTTGGGATCAGCAAAATGATTCTTCTGTCGAGACAGCAATGTCTTGATGACAGAAATAGTCCTAGTTTGTATAGTACCAGTCTGTCGGTAAAATGATGAGCAGACGCACCAATTAGGTCGTCTGCACCATTTAGGTCGCTGAAGAGCAAAGCAATTTGATTTTGTCGCGACATGTCGCGACACAATTCATTTTCTCGGCGGCGATGCGATTTTCGATGCGACAGAGTGATCACTATTTTTCCGGCAGCCTGAGAGTATGTATTATGCATAGACCCTTTGAATACGTGAAGATTCCAGTTTCCATCCCCCCATTTACATCACGTTTTTTGTCTACGAAAATTCCACGTTGCCTTGAACAGTTCTGACCCAATGCGACAAACGTTTGTTCATCTGAACGTTTACGGCAACCATTCAGTTATTTGAACATCTGCTCACTTTTTCATTCTCCCTAAGACGTCCGTTTCCTATGTCAAAATATGGCTATGTGATCACGAGTATATTTGACTCGCAGAATTTGATCTATCTGTTGTCGAACCGCGCCTAAAACATGGTCAAAAATTCGTCATTTGGTCTGTATGTTCAACTGCATTGTTTTTCGAAATTTTTAATACAACGTCACAAAAAATGATATAAAAGAAGCACGAAAACTACACAGAAATCATCATTTAAACCACTCTGAACTTGACCCAGTAGATCATCATGAACTCCCTCTACTTGTTGGCTCTTTTCGTGCCTCTGGCAATGTCCACCGCGCCCATCACGTCGCAGATCAACAAACCAATTGCCGGAGGGCAATTCACCTACTACGATGCCGTAGGCAATGGAGCGTGCGGCGAGCCGTTGAAGAAGTGCACCGCCGCTCTTTCCGCCAAACTCTTCGATCCCGCCGCCAAATGGGGCCCATCGCCAAAGGATGCGAGCAAATATGTGTTGCAAGACCCTGCGTGCAATGACTTGTGTGTCAAGATTGAATATAAGGGAAAGACGTAAGTTTTATGATTGCAATCGCCTCTCGCAGCTATCTGTGTGTCCGAAAAATAATGAGCAAGATGTCGCATTGAAAATCGCATCGCCACCGAGAAAATGAATTGTGTCGCGGCGAAATCAAATTTCTTTTTACCTCACCGACGCAATTGGCGCAGCGACAGAGAGCTCATTATTTTCCCGACAGACTAAAATTAGTATTTTCAAAAGCGCGTAGACTTTTTGTCGTGGGCCGCACAGTGCGTAAAAACACCCAATTTTGCACCGTGCATTACACATTTTTTGCTTTTTGTATTGTACGCCGAAATATCGCTGCACCTTTTTTTGGAAACCAAGTTTCAACCATATGTGTCGCTCCGTGCATTCACCTTTTTTTGGTTTTGCACTGACTGTATAGTAAATCCTAAATTCTTCAGCGCCTCCTTCCCCATTCAAGACAAGTGCCCCGGCTGCGAACCAAACCATGTTGACCTCTCCGAGGACGCCTTCAAGGTGTTGGAGTCCAATCTTGGCGTTGGAAAGGCAACTCCCGCCACGATCACCTATCTGCCCTGCAGTCAGACCAAGATCAGCTGTTAAATCGTCCAACTGAAGGCTTGGACATTATTTATTCTGATAATTTATTTCTAGTAAAGAAATGCATTCAGTCGTTGAGTTGAGAATGTTTGATCAAAAATTTGTAGTATCAGTCTGTCTGGAAAATAATGAGCACTCTGTTGGATAGAAACTCGCATCGCCGCCGAGAAAATGGATTGTGTCCGCGGCTTGAGATTTGGTGCGCAACTGCGGCGAGGCGAGACATATTCATGCGAAAAATCCACATTATTTTCCCAACAGACTGATACTACAGTTACCACGACAATGATTTGTTGCTACGGACCCAAAAATGTCTAGACTAGTACCTTCCAAAAGAGAAGTGATCAAGGAAAAATTCCAAAACAAATCCACATTATTTTCCCGACAGATTCATATTCCAAGCATTGGAGTTTTATTTATATTTTTCTTTTTTCTTTCACAGCAGTTTACTGTAATTTTTCCCTACTTTTCACTAGTTTTTGTTCCCTTATGTAACATGCAAATGACGCAAACAAATTGATTATTCATTTGAACTGGAGTCTGAACTCTTTCAAAAATTATTCATTGAAATTAGAAACAACTCCGAACTTCCGTGTTCAACCGTCTCCAGGGTGATTAATGCATTCGTAAGATGAAGGGAAATGGGGCAAAGAACGAACATAAAGTGATAATTTAACAATCATAGCGGCTGAGAGACTACGCAAAAAGCGGAGAGTGGTCAGAGAAAAAAATTTTTGGCCATATCTTTGCCAGTTCTGTTCGGAAACAATTGATTTTTTGTGGAAAAATTATCCTCAATGGTAGAAATAGACAAAAAAACTTTTCGTTCCTGAAAAGCGCATCTACAATCAAAATCGCTTGCAAAACGAAATATTTTAATGATCAAAAAATGCAAAAAAAGAAGGCAAAACATCTATGCGAAAAAAGGCGACAGACCGTGTCAAGTTAGCGGGAGTTACGCAGTAAACAAGAACCTTGTTGTTTTGTCATGAATAAGTAAAAAGTAGGGCGAAAAGCGGACGCCAGACAAGATGCGACATTCTAATTTGGCCGTTACTGTAAATAGTAATCTTGCTGGCTCTAAACAACAATTTTACGGGGAGTTGGATCCCAAGTCGGGCTGGAAAATTGCATCCCATATAAAATCAAGTTGCAACGAAAGGTCTAAACATTCTATGTATGTACCATCGACAAAAAATGTACCAGAATTTGCACTGTGCGTTGGTGACAAGCATTGGAAAGAGTTCAAAATGTACTGTCCAGAAGCGAGGAAATGTCCACGCACTTTACGAAGTTGCAAATATTTATTATGTCAGTAGAGCTCAGTGCACTTTTGTGTTCTTTTTTGCCTTACGTGGCGCGCCATTCCCATTTTTCCCAGCGATAAATCACTGTTTTTACCAGTCTGTCGAGGAAATAAGATTGAGGAGAACAGAATTGACCGAAGTTGGCGCGAATTGAGCAAATTGCGTTTGATGAAACATGCGAGTTTGCGCGTTTTAGAATTTAACTACTAGTCGTGCCATAAAGTCCTGACACTACGTCAATCGCGTCGCTGAAGTGAAAAGCAATTTGATGCTGCCGCGACACATTATACCCTCGGCGCCGATGCGATTTCCAATGCGACAGAAAGCTTATTATTCTCTCGACAGGCTGACACTAGTACTTTCATAAAGTGCGTAGACTTTTTTATAAAAAATAGCTTTGTCCGATTCCACCTTCGAATAGAAAAGAAATAAACGAGGTGGCTTGTGGTCTTGTGGTGGTTTCTGCAGTCGATTACCTTCAACACCTTCTACCTGAAAATACTTGGCCTTCAAGTGGAAGGTTGCTGATGTGGACGGCGGGTAATCGATTGTTTTCGTTCCCCTTTAGATCAACACGATAACAATAAATTTATCAAGAAGAGTAACAATTACAATAAACTTAAAATAGCACTTCACTACAATAACGAAACACAACGCTACAACAACATCCAACATACAACTCACCTCCACAACAACACCACTACTCTACTAATAAATCTAGATGGGATAAAGACTGAGAGAAGGTTACGGTGCCGTGATTCAGGCGCTCCGCGTCATGATCTCTCCATCGAACATTCTCAAACATCGGGGAAAAAAAGCTGGGGAAACAGTTGACACGGGGGACATCTCTCTCTCTCTCTCTCCATAAATTCCATCGAGTTGACACATCCTGGTAACTCCAGGTTCCGTGGAATCCGACAAGTTTTCTACCGTGCATACGATTAATTTCAAATTTTCTTTGTCTCCCGACACGAAAAAACAACAGTTATGAAATTGCGTAATACTAATTACTTATCTTTCTATCCAGACACTTCGATACATCGCATATTATTTTATTATAATAATTACAAAATGACACGTGCTCCAAAGACAATATCCAATGCGAAATATCCTCCCCGAAACACCAATAACATAAGCGCTCCCGTCATGGTTGTCAAGATCCAAAGCATTACGAATAGATTAACGAATTCTACCGCCGGATGAACGACGACCGGCCGTCGCCTGCGCTCATCCGCCAGGAAACGGGCGTCTCCGTTGTGGATTTGCGACGAGCCGTATGTAACCACGCGGGCGGTTGAAGGTGTGGCGTTCATAACGGCTGCATCGAATGGATAAAGTTCGCGGCAAAGTTCTAAAGCAGGTGCCTGAAGGACGAGGTTTTAGGACAAGCAGGCTGAACTTACAAAAAATGCACATGCCACGAGAATGGCGAGAAACTTGAGCGCCTGGATTTGGAAGTAGGACGCGATAATGAAGCCCGCAACCAATACAAAGCCCGTCCCAATGGTTGCCATCACATAGTGCAGAGTTACGCTGACCTTTTTCAAGATTATTACGTGTTATTTGAACCTACGTAAATCATAACGGCTAGTAGTAGGTTTGACATTTTCATTGGATCGGGGCACAACCTAAAATCAGACCAATTAACAAGGGAAAATTGGAAATTAGTTGGAAGTCACAACGCTCAGATTTTCTCTAACAAGGGAAGTACTCCAAGTGCGACGCTTAGATTTTCCTTAAATTTTGCACACACGTCGGGAATAGACTAAATATCAATTCCTGAAAGTTTTAGCCCGCGCTTTGCAGGCGCCGCCGTGATATCGGACGATTTATGCCGTCGAGGGAGCGCGCTAAACGTGGAGAGCGGTCAGAGAGAAAAACGCTTTTTGGCCATAACTTTGGCAGTTTCATGCGGAAAATTTTGATTTTTTGTAGAAACATTACCCTTTATGGTAGAAATAGGCATGAAACTTTTCGTGCCGAAATTCGGCAAAAAGTCCTAAATTTTGGCCGACTTTCGATCTAAATATCTCGGTTGTTTCTGCAAAGCGCGGGCTAGGATTCTCGCATATATCTTAGAAAAAATTATTCTAAATTTGTGCCTAGTTTCATCAAAATCTGAGCGTCGCACTTGGGGTACTTCCCCTGTAAATTTCTCACATATTTCGGGCATGGTCCACATATCAATTCCCGAGAGTTCAAGCTTGCGCTTTGAAGGGGCAGCCAAGATATTGAACGATCTTTTTGCTGCCGAGAGAGTACGCAAAAAGCGGAGTGCGGTTCCACAAAAAATTCAAAAGCACTTTCTGGCCGTAGCCTCGTCAGTGTAGCATGGAAAAACTTTTATTTTTTTGTGGAAATAAAAAAAATATTACCCCCTACGGCAGAAATAGGCAAGAACATCTTCACCGAAAATCTCAGTTGTTTTCTGGAGAACGCAAGCTAGAAATCCCACTGAGCGTTCAAAAAAAATTATTCTAAATTTGCGCCAAGTTTCAATAAAATCCAAGCATAGCACTTGAAGCACTTCTCCCATTAAAATCACGTTTTCTGGTTCTGTTTTGATTCAATCCCCGCCGGTTAGGAGCTTCAAAATAAGTCTTTTTAACAGTGATAAAACAGTTCCCTAGCCTTGTTAAACGACCCCTCAAAAGATTTCTATTTGTATGGCGACGCGCGTTCTTTAGGAGCAGAATTTTTTCAATGCACAGCAGAAATTTCGCTCTTTAAAGGCGTTTCTGTAAATCAACAAAAACGTTTTTTTTATTATCAGTTTGTCGGGAAAATAATTTGGATTTTTAAAGTAAAATTTCTCGCCTCGCCGCTATCCACATCCCCAGCCGCGGCTTGCCGTCGCAAAGCGATGATGGGCGACTCCGACGGCCCGCCGTTATTTTCCTGACATGTCGACCTGTCGGGAAAATAATGAGGATTTTTGCAGTAAAATTTCTCCCTTTGTCGCCGCCGTGCACCAAATCCTTACAATTAGCCGTGGCTAGTCGTCCAAGGCGCCAAAAATGCACATTATTTTCCCGACAGGAATATTTATTAATTTTTTTTAATTTTTGAAGATTATCCAATTTTAGCCCTTAATATTTCCACAGAAAATTAATTTTTTCCATGCTATATAGTCCTTGAAATAGACCAAACTTACCAAATTTCATATTCAGTCAGCACCACAGTTCATATTCAGTCAGTTCATATTCAGTCAGGCACCCCGAAGCTCATCCATTCCATGCAGCCACCGTTTAGCGCTCTCTTCGTGAAGAAAAGGGCGCGCTCTTCAAACCGGTGTTTTTTAGCCTACAGAAGGGAGGTATTTTGCGACAATTTGGTTCTCTCCTGGATGCAAAATGGGACGTTTTTTGCCACTGGTCAGGTCTCTAACTGTATGTATAACACTTGTCCTACAACCTCGTCCTTCAGGCACCTGTTTTACGAATTTGGCGCGAAGCTCGTCCATTCCATGCAGCCACCGTTTACGCCGCACTTTCAACGGCCCGCGTGGTTCCATATGGCCCGTCGCAAATCCGCAACGGAGACGCCCGCTTTCTGGCGGATGAGCGCAGACGACCGCACTTTCATGCGGCATTCGAATTCCTTGGCCTATTCGTAGGGCTTTTGATATTGACAACCATCACGGGAGCGGTTAAGTTTGTGGTGTTTTGGAAAGCATTGGATATTTATATTGACTTTAGAGCAAATGCCATTTTGTAATTATTATTGTAAACTAATATGCAATGTATTGAATTTCTGGATAGAAAGAAAAGCAGTAAATATTACGTAATAATTTCATAACTGTTGTTTTTTCGTGTCGGGAGGCAAAGCAAATTGGAAATTATTCGTATGTACGGTAGAAAAATATTTAACAAGGAAAGTACTTCTATGGGGTATGGAGTTACAGGTCGAGATATACATCAAAAAATTCGCCGGGGGGCTGAAAAAAAGTACCGCTTTGCATCAAGGAAGGAACCAAAATGTTGCAAAATACCTCCTTTCTCTAACGTAGGCTAAAAAACGACTTTCTTTGGGGTCAACGAAAAAGATTTTTTTGGCATTTAAAATCGAAATTTCGCTTTTTTCAAAGCCGATTTTCTCCGGTAGCGAGCATTCTGGTGACAAAATTTATATATTCTGAAGGGAAATTGGTTACTCTACATTTTTCTTTTTGCCGGTACATCTTCTGGTTAGATTGCCACGGTCAAAATTTCGGCTCCGGCTCTTAGCTCCGAGAGCCGGAGCCGAGGCCAAATTTGCAGCTCCGGCTCCCGGCTCCCATGAAAAATTTAAAAAGGTCTTTGGCTCCGAGTACCGACTCCCATTCAAAAGAATTTTAAAAATATTTTTCCAAATAAAAAGTTATTAGTGCCAGAGATCACACACCCAACGTTTTTGCAGTATGCATCACATCTTTACCAGTATTTTTTAAGCAATTTGGTTAAACAAGATTATGGAATTTTTACTTTTTTGAACGCTGAGAAGCCTGGCTCCGACTTTGGGCTCTGAGCCGGACCCGTACCCAAAATTACCGGCTCCGGCTCTGGCTCCCGGTTCGGAGCCGGAGCCGCTCAGAGCCGTAGCCAAGAACCGGCTCCGGAGCCATGGCAATCTCTGCTTCTTACCCTGCCAAAATCGGGGCACCTCCGATTTTTTAGCAACAGAAAATCTCGGTTATGCCGTAAGGCTTAGAAATACACCCTAGATGAAGCTTCGATAATCCTTTTATTAGTCTATAAGTATGTTGTAATAGGGATGGATCTGAGCTAGAAAATAATCGACTTCAAACTTTTGCAAGAGAATGGTCATAACTTTGTATCCAACCTAATAATTTCTCTGCAATCTGTGTCGGCGCAAAACTGCGATTGCCACAAAGTGCAGCCGTATGATAACCCGGGGTAAAAACGCAAATATGAGCAAAAATGGAGGGAAATGCGTGACACAGAAATTCAATGCAACCCAAAAACGCACACAGTCGACTTTGCGAGCACCCCGGTTAAGGTGGCATGTGTTTAGAGCGCCTACTCAAGTCAATGTCCTGGAGTCGAGTCGACAAAAAGAAACCGATTAGAGTAAGGACGGGTAAAAATGCAATTGGCGAAAAAAACGTCCATGCACTTTATGAAAATGCTAATATTTCGCGGTTTTCAGTATCCAGGCCGTAGAAGGCTTCCGCTCACCGAAAACGAGGAGATCCCGACGGAAGATGAGCAACTAGTCGAGTCGCCCGCCAACCACATCACCGTTCTCCACAAAGGCGATGAGAAACGCATTCCGATCTCGTATGCCGAAGAGGACTCCAGACGCGGAGCTCGGAAAGATGCGGCGCTCAGAAAAGTCGTGTTTCGCATAACGAGTTTGTCGCTGCAGCTGAGCAGCCATCAACACGAGGAAGGCAAACTCAGGCAGCGATGGGTACGGGCTCCAAATCTCAGCGATGAAGAAAAGGTAACTTTTTAAGCCATTTTGAAGCTGCTACAGTGACGGACCTGATCGAGTGGCTGACGTATAGCATTTTGCATCTGGGAAGTATCTTAAAATGTGGCAAAATGCATCCCTCTCCAAGTGAAAAAACTTCGATTTCAAAAGCGCGCCCGCTCTTTTTGTGAGGGAAAGGATGCCCCTTCAAAACAGAGTTTTTTTAGTTGAAGAAGGAGGCATTTTGCAACATTTTTTGATACTTCCCGGATGCAAAATGGTACGTTTTTTGCCACTGAATAAGGTCCGCCAGTGTACCTACCCAGAGGACTTTAAAATTTAACGTCGAAGATTCATTTTGACGTCGCCTTTTTATTTATAATTCTATTATAAAAATCCGCATTTGTTCTCCTTGCCGTATCATTTTTTCCTGTCCTTTTTGCCCAGATGCCCTCTTTTTATACAGTACGGACCTGATCCAGTGGCAAAGAACATACCGTCTTAAAAAGTAGCAAAATACCTCCTCACGTCAATCCAAAATAGAGCAAAAAATTTCCCGCCCCTATTGGTGATTCGTTCAAAACGAAATGTCACTATCCGATAAAAAGCATTTTTTTTATCTTTCTTCTTTCTTTTCGAGAAAAAGCAATTATTTCGGGCGAGAAAAAGTGCCGATAATTTCGCGACATTTCGTCTTTCTTTTAAATCAATGAAAACGATACGAAATTTCGAAACGGTTCAGGAAATGCGCTGGATTGACGTGCTCCTTCTCCAACTAAAAAAAACTCCGGTATGAAGAGCGCGTTTTTTTCGAACTTGAAGAAGGAGGTATCACTATACTTTCCTCATCACACATAACGCCTAATTTTTTCTTTATTCCAGTTCAAAAAGTGCCAACAACGGATTCAGGAGACTGCGGAGAAGGTCCGGGAGGCCAAAGATCTATTCCGGCGATTGCATGGTGATGATTATGACAGGATGTTTGAAGAATATCTCTATGAGTAGCCCTCTGGATATTATAAAATGTAAATCCCTAAACTTCATGAGGTTCCAACATCTTTCTTTTGGCACGCTGATCCTTTATTCTAATTAAAAAAGAAATAAATTATCTCTTGTTCATTCAGCAAGTGCTGATTGTGGTCTGGTTGCAGAACAGATAGGTGATGGTGGCGGGCTTTGCGATTCCGACAGTTCCTCCTTGGGGTTCCAGGACCAAGAAGGCGGCGGTGGAGAGGTCGACGTGGTCCACAGCGCATTCGGGGCACTTGTTGTCGGCGGGGAAGGTGGCACTGAAAAGATAGGGGCATTTTGGAGAGTAGGCAAATTTTTTGGCCATAACTTTTTGATTGCTATATGGAAAAACTTGATTTTTGGGAGTAACAGTGTACAGGGTTACTTCTAAAGAATTATCAAATTTTCAGTCCGGAAATCACAAAAGGAACTCCGATTTTTTGGCTTTTTGGAGCTAGGGACTTCGGTGATTTTCGGAACTCATAAACTAAAAATCTCGCACGTTTCGCAGAAAATTCTGATCCTAGTTTGCTTCAAGTTTCATTGAAAGGCGAGTTCCACACTCTGTGAGCATCAAATGGCGCGAAAAATTCAAATTGCGCACAGAAAATGGTTTTGTCTGCCTGACCAGCATTGATGATGACAAAATATGCGCATTTTCACAAAGTGCCTGGACATTTTTTGCAAGAACTCGCGAATTGCGGACCACGGCGAATGTTCAGGCACTTTGTGAAAATGCTAATAGGTACGACTTTGCGTCCATTATTTTCCCGACAGGATGACAGCAGCAAAACTTCGAGAACACGAGTATTTTAGACTGCAGGCCTCTCTTGTTCAGAATATCCATTCCCTTCCCCTCCAGCCACCTACGTTTTTCCCTTGTACTCGATCTGGACGCAGATGCCTCGGCAAACCGGGTCATCCAAAATGTATCTTCCATCGGGCAGCGTAGAGGGTACCCATTGGGCGCTGGAGTCGAAGAGGCTTCCAGAGACCGCAGCCGAGCAAGAGCTTACATCCAAGCCACACGCGCCTCTTCCCGAGGCTCCGTAGAAGGTAAACTCGCCGCCGGAGATGGGCTTGTTCAACTGGGGAGTGATCAAGTCGGCGACGACGAATGGAGCCAACAGCGCGAACAGGTACAAGGAATTCATGTCTGACTAAGTGAATTCGACAATGTCCAATGATATTTGTCAGCGGATTCGACCGGATTTATATATTGTTTCTTGTTTTTTTGAAGGAAACAGTTGAAATGAAAATAAGAGGATTTGTAGGTGTTCAAACAAAATTATGGCTGAACAAATTAAAAGTCCCATAAGCGGACAGGTCCGAAAACAGCCCTCAGCCTGTGAGTGCATCAGGTTCAACGCAAATTTTCATGTTCCTCCGTGTTTTTTCAACAGCAATGTTGGGTTGATACCAGTTTGTTGGGAAAATAATGAGCATGCCTCAAAATGTGCAAATAGTAATCTATCCTAAGACCCGGTCAATCTTATTATTTCTATTAACTAAGCCTTCTCCTAGCCTCCCCCATGCACACAACATCGAACCGAGGCGATCCATAGTATCGTTGACCCGAACTGTCGTAGTGCCAAAAGGACGGGCTAAAATTTTGAGGAATTGAGACGTGGCCTATTGTCCGATTCCATGGAACCTGGAGTTATCCACGATGTGTCAACTTGATCGAATTTATGGAGAGAGAGAGAGATGTCCCCCGTGTCAACTATTTCCCCAGCTGTTTTTCCCCGATGTTCGAGAATGCTCGATGCAGACATCCCGAAGCGGAGCGCCTGAATCAGGGCACCGTAACCTTCTTTCAGGTTTTATGCCATCTTGATCGGTTGTAGTTGGTGTTGTTGTAGTAGAGTATAAGTTGTAGTTGTGAAGTTGTGTTGAACTTCTGAAGAGTGTGGGTGTTGTTGTTGTATTGAGCTGTAATCGCTTTCTTTTATTGTAACTGTTTACTCTTCTTGATAAATTTGTTTGTTCGTGTCGATTATCATTTATTTCTCGTGTTGATCCAAAGGGGAACGAATAGCATCGATTACCCGCTTTCCACATCAGCAACCTTCCACTTGGAAGGCCAAGTAATTTCAGGTAGAAGTTGTTGAAGGTCGCCTGCAGAAACCACCGCAAGGCCACCAGCCATCTCGTTATTTCTTTTGGTATTTCAGTCTGGTCGAAGGTGGAATCGGACACCTATGTCCAAACAAGGTGCAAAATTAAAAAAAAACCCAAGCGTCGAATTTGAGACACTTCCCTTGACAACACTTTCATATGCTCGAAACCCTCTTTTTATATTGGCATGTTCATCTTTTTATCTCGAAATATATAGGTTAATGAATGTTAAACTCTCTGTTGCCGTCTTAACATCCGCTGGCAGGGCTAGCGGTGGAACTGGCACTAGGACTAGCGCTGGAGCCAGCGCTCGGGGCGCTGGTGACGGAGGTCTGATTGCAGAACAGATACGTGATGGTGGCTGGCTTCGCGATTCCGACGGTTCCTCCGGCTGGCTCCAGGATGAGGAACGCGTCCGTGGAGAGGTCGACGTGGTCCACAGCACATTCGGGGCATTTGTTGTCGGCGGGGAAAACAGCACTGAAATGATCGAGGAAGTTTTGTAGATTCGGCAAATTTTTGACCATAACTTTTTGATTGCTATATGGAAAAATTTATTTTGGGAGAATCAGTGTAGACTTCCTTTTACGATCACCGGCATCAAAGTTCGGGGATATCTTATGAGCGACCTGTTTGAAAAGCCGTGTATTTTCGACTCCAGGCTTCAGAATATCCACTCCTTTTCCCTCCAGCCACCTACGTTTTTCCCTTGTACTCGATCTGGACGCAGATGCCTCGGCAAACTGGGTCATCCAAAATGTATCTTCCGTCAGGCAGATTCGAGGGCACCCATTGACCATTGGAGTCGAAGAGGCTTCCAGACACCGCGGCCGACAAGTTTTGCACATCCAGACCACAAGCCCCTCTTCCTGAGGCTCCGTAGAAAGTGAACTCGCCTCCGGAGATGGGCTTGTTCAACTGGGGAGTGATCTGGTCGGCGATGACAAATGATGCCAACAGCGACAACAAGTAGACGCGATTCATCTTTACGGTGAATTTGACGGGAAAATCGGAAGTTTGAATGACGGTGGCAAGGATTTATATGGGCTTATATACGTGCCAGTTAAGGCCGGAAGCGCAGCCTGGGATAGATTTAAAATAAAAATAAAGAGGATTTACAGGTGTTTCAACGAAAATAGAGCTGTTCAAATAAGGAATTCCATAAGCGCAAAGGTGTGAAAACAGTATTCAATGCCCTCAGGGGCGTAGATCGCATCGTTTCGGTTGGGAACGAAAAACTTATCGTTAGGAATGTTTGATTTACCTGTAGTAAAATCAAAATAAATGTTGAGTGCCTCAGGAATGGCGGTCAACTCTAGAATTATGTAGAAATTTTCAAAAATACAGATTTTTTAAAACAAGTTTTTTTCAAAACATCGCCAAATCTGCTTCTGGTGTCTAAAAACAAGGTCGTAAATCCTTTCAAAGTCGTTTCTATCCTATAATCTTTGTCTCAAAATGTAACCAGAGCTCTGGATTTGTCATATTGCGAGAACGACTTTGATTATGCCTACATTAGTCGTGACCTATCTCCCCACAAAATCGTTGCAGTTCGGTCATTTCATTCCAAACTCTTCAATTTTTCATATTTATTCGTTATAACAAGACTATACAACAAAAGAAAAAAAAAAATAAATGAAAAATTTAAGAGCCATTTTCGGTTTCCTGGACCGATTCGTCCGAAGCGAGGTCATTGTTAGAGATTCTTTCGGCCGCCCGCGCGAACGCCGCGTCCATTCTTGCTTTCTCCTCGTCCGTGAAGGGGCGCTCACCGGTTTTGAGCTCTTCTGGGAGGCCCTCTGAAAATTTAGCAATCAATTTATGAAAAAAATCAATTTTTTTTTGCTTTTTGCAATTTCTGGTTCCACCACTAAAAAAATCCATGTAAAATCGACTATTTTATGGCTGAACAACCCTAAATAATTTCGTTGACCATCACAAAACTCTTTCTTTTTTCCTTACCAACCTTATTTTAGACACCTACCTAAATTTTAGGTCCCACCACGAAAACCTCTGAAGTTCCAAAATCGCAAATTTGCAGCTATAAAGGTCTAATAAACTCTTTGTGAGTCCCAAGCAACCTCAATCGCCACAAACAACTCTAATTTTAACGTTTCTAAAATTCTCTTCAGGTCCCACCACGAAAACTTCTAACCTCTCAAAATCGCAAATTTGCGCCTAGAAATTTCTAATAGTCTTTATAACCCCCAAAGAACCTAAATCGCCACAAAAAACATTCATTTCAAACATTTTCGAAACTCTTTCAGGTCCCACCACGAAAACCTGACATCTCCCAAACTCACAAATCCCTCCATACCTTTCAAGATCTCGTCAATTAACGTTAGGAAGCACCGTTTTGACGCCTGGAAAATCTCGCTGCTGTATCGGGCGTCCTTCTCGTAGATGTTGAATATCATTTTGTCGCTGAGGATGCCCTTGTAATACCACATTTCAATCCAATTTGTGACCAGCTTATACGACAGCTCTTCGAAGACGGTTCCAATCGCCGAGATGTTGAAAATTTCCGGGTAGAAATTCGTGACTTTCACCGTGTATTTCGAGGGCTGACCGCATGTGGCGTACCAACCGTCGGCTGAAATACGAAAAATCAACCTTGAAAAGATGCAAACAAAAGTATTATGATAAAAAATAAAGACCATTAGGGTCGCTAAAATATAATTTGAACCAAAAATTCCACTTTTCAAAAAACTTGGGTCCCACCACGAAAACTTAAAATTTTTCAAAATCGCTTGAAACCTGATGATTCGGCGATAAAATGAGCTTATGGAGCTCAAAATAGTACCACAAAACATAACTAACTATTCAATTTTTTTCATTTCCGCTTTCCGGGTCCCAACAAGAAATCCTGAAAAGTTCCTGAAGCTGTTCAAAACACCAATTTCTGCTACTACCTTTCCTCTATTGTCTCAAAAAATCCACACGACATCTAAACGTCCCATTTTTGAAAATGCATTCTCCCCTTCCCCGGGTCCCACCACGAAAACCTGAAAAGTTCCCAAACCTCTCCAAAATTCAAATTTCTGATTTTTACATTTTCCTCTATAGTGTCAGAGTCTCAAAAAAAAGTACAAGACTTAAAAACGCCCCATTTTTGAACACTCTTTCTCTCCTCTCCGGGTCCCACCACGAAAACCTGAAAAGTCGCCAAACCTGTTCAAAACTCAAATTTCTGCCATTGCATTTCCTTCATTGCCTCCAAAAACCCACAAAACTTCAAGCGCCCCATTTTTGAATATCCATTCTCTTCTTCCCCGGGTCCCACCACGAAATCTTGACAGCTCTCCAAATCACCGCAAAACCCGTCCAAAAATCTCCAAACTCACTTTTGAAGATTGACTCCACCGTCCATCCCACAATCCGGCACCACAACCCAACCCTGTATCTGATTTTTCGCTTCCGAGTCTCCGTCAAGACGTTGGAGCGCTTCAGAAAGTCGGGGATCTCTCCAGTTAGGGCCAGCAGAGGCTCCTGTTGTTTGATTGGCGACGCGGGCTTTTTCTCCGCCTTCTTCTGGACCTGTTTGTTTTCCTTTTCGACGACTGGAGCGGGCGTGACGAGTTTGTAGAATCCGATTTTGTTCGCCTTCACATAGCCTTCGGTGCCGGCGGTCAACGCCGCCGTTTGGAGGGCGGCTTTCGCCGGCTTTGGAGGCGATAATGGTGGAGGAGCCTTTCGTTGGGCTGGCAACTGCGCCTGGAATGTAAAAACATCAGAAAAAGATGTTGAAAATCGGGAAAAATTCTGGGTCAAAAGTGCCTAAAGTAATATATATTTTGTTGAAATCTGAATATTTTTGAACTTCAATACATTTGAGAAGCTTCATAGGTGCTTAAAACTCATAAATAAATAGATAACCAACAATATATTGCTCCTTTTCATCTGACATTATACCATTCTTAAAAAAATTTTGCAAATTCTATAAGCCAAGTCAAAACTTCTCAAGGAAACAGTCCTAAGCCCTGGATGTCTCCATAAATGTATCTATGAACCTATGGCCATTAGTTTCCAGCAGAATTCGGGCAAAAAAATTGAGAAATCATATGTCCAATTAAAGCTCATAGATAATGTCAGTAAAGAAAATGCATGCCAAAAAAGCTCAGCTAAACCCATAAATAAGATCAAACATATCATAACCTTCCCATTCAACGGGTTTTTGGAATCCCAATACTTGCATTTTCTCAAAATGTTTATCCAACTATAATTTGCCATGAATCACACAGCAAAATCAAAATTTCTTGAACACATATCGGTCGAAACTCATAAATATTGTTTTCTAGTCTATAACCACATCATTCACTATGATTTTAGCTAGATCTAACCGCAAAGACGACTAAATTCATCTTGATATCGGCATTTTCCTTGGCTTATACCTAAAAACGGAACAAATAATAAAATCCATTGCTGGAAAACTCACATTTGCCCCCTTCCCTGCTTTCTTCTTCTTCTTGACTTTATCATTTGTTCGCGCATGACTGTTCGCCGCTTCTTTCGTCGCTCCAGCATGCTTTGCTCCTTTTTTGGCCATCAAACTTCCTGAGCCTCCAAAAAAATTCATCACCGGCTTCACCGGCGCTCCGTAGCCGGGTCCAAACCGCTCGTTGTACTCCTCAGTGGTGTAGGCGGCGGTTGCTTGCGCGAATTTCTCGTTGTAGCCCACGGAATTGTCTTGTTGATACGGATCCACATAGGCCATGTTCCCATAACCCTGAGTGCCATAAGCTGGAGCGCCGTAGCCGCTGTTCGTTGGTCGCTGAACATAGGGCTGGGCGGGAGTTTCCATGAGAGGTCGAGGATAGGGCGCACGAGTGGCGGCGGGTGCTGCTGTCGTACCTTGAGCATACGGATCATACAGCCACATGGAGCGTTCGGCTGCGGTCAGATTAGCGTACGGATCCTGATACCCGCTCGCCATTCTGTTCCTAAAACCATAAAGTTTGGGTAACAAAAAATAATTTGCAGAAGAAATGCTAAAATCTATGAAAATATATTACACTTGACATCAGGTCAAGTATAATATAAAAAAATGCCAGCCCACGTCAAATTCAATCTAGAAAAGAGATAGATAGGTTCAAACAGAAACAATATAGACTTGGCAGACTAAAATTTATACTACGCAAGACAAATCTCTATATTTTAGCAGAAATTTTTTCGATTTCTTTCGCAGCTCATCAAAAACAATATAAAAACAATATTTCGAACAAGATTAGACAAGAAACAGACCGAAGAATCCAGTAAGACATTGTTCATGCGACAAAAAACCGCTCCGAAAACAGACCATGAAGAAATAAAATAGTTTGGTAAGGTTTCAATGTATAAAATGGTACCTCGCGGCTTTGCAGAGTGCGTGTGTCTGGGCGCAGCTCGAAATGCGTGAAATAGGAAAACAAAATAATTTTTTGTTGTTCTCGTATTTTAGGAGCTCAAATGGGCAGTTTACGGAGAGAAATGAGTCAGCGTTGAGCTAGAAAATCGATCTCGACATCAATTTATGTTATCCATGCTAAAATTACAAAGTTTTTGAGTTTTCTACCGATTTTCTAGGAGATTGCTGTTTCAATTTCATGGTAAAGGAAGATCACTCATTTATCAGTGAAAATCTTTATTAGAACTCGAGTTATTTACAGTGTAATCAGTCGGTTTATCACAGAAAGGCTTGTAATTGTTGAGCGGATCATTTCGTGGCCACACGCATGGCCAAAGTGCTTGAGATGCACTGGATTTGTGAGCAATCGGGGATGACCTCCCCATCCACCACTATCGGGCTTTTATGGGTGTGGTGGGCGAGGGCTTCGAGGCGGAATGCTTTGACTTTCAGGTAATGCACAAAGGGTAAATTGAGATGTTCGCCCTGCTCGATGGCCGTCAAAAACTTGACCAGCTGCGTCTTGGAGTGGATGTCGCGGTTGAGCAGGTAGCATAGATGGATTGCGGACTCTTCGAGTTGGGCGTCCGGCGCGAAAATGTTGGTTTGGGAAATGTGGGAGCGGGTCACCTAAAATAATATAAATTTTCCTTCGTAAAAAGTTCAGTGTGCCTATAAATGAATTGAACTCACTGCATAGACGTTGACAAAGTCGTCTTCAATAGTTCGCCAGCCGTGTGGGACGGGAGCGTCGGTTTCTGGCTCGTTTATTAGCAATTTTCCGCTCCAAACATTGGGCTCGGATCCCTCTTCGGTAATCGGGTTCAAATTTCTCTCCTTTTGCTCGTAGACGGAACGAGAGTAGGCTGAGGTAACTGGTGGGGCTTCTTCGGCTTCGAATTGAAGAAATGATAATCGGGCACGGTATTTTCGGAGGGCTGGAAATAAAAGGGCAATTAAGAAAAAATGGAGCGGAATTGGTCAATATTAGTGTTTCTAGTGGTTTAAATTGCCGAGAGATAGTTGGAAAAAGTAATTTACAAGTGCCTTGAGACATGATTCAAGAGTTTCATGCAAAAGAATTAAAAAAAACTTCTGAGATCATTCTACGGTGACGGACCTGATTCAGTGGCAACAAACGTACCATTTTGCATCCGGGAAGCATCAAAAAATGTCGCAAAATGCCTCCCTCTCCACATAAAAAACTCCGTTTTGAAGGGCGCGTTTTTTAAATCGGAGTTTTTCACTTGGAGAGGGAGGCATTTTGCGACATTTTTTGATACTTCCCGGATGCAAAATGGTACGTTTTTTTGTCACTGGATCAGGTCGGCCACTGTATTTTGGAAGTTTTTTTTGTCAAAAAAAAAATGATTTTTTTCGTATAACCTTGATTTTAGATCAATGTTTGACCAGTAAATTTTAGTCTAAAATAAAAAAAATCGGTTTCAAGCCCTCAAACTTACAAGCCACCCTCCACAAGGCGCCAAAGACAAATCGCTGACCGCCGCAAATCGGCCTCAAACTCTCGCTCTCGATATCTAAAACATTGGGTTGCTTTGTAAGGTTAATAGCCTACCAATATCGCCCATAAGTCCCCATCCAACTGACAAAAAGGCCCCAAATTCTCGGCTTCCTACCCGGCAATGCATCAGCGTTACCGGAACGGAGATTGCCCATTTGTAGACCAATGATTCGGTTGCGGTTTCGAGCAATTGTTTCGCCGGAGTAATCGCGATTTTCCGTCGAAAGTAGACCGAGGAAAGTAGACCATTCCCGGAGCCACAGGGGATGATAAAAAATGGGAGGGAATCCAGTAAAATCGAGGCATCAGAACGGCTTAGAATCGCGTTCAAGGCTTCGAAAATGAGGCCATCTCCGGAAACGATGACGATGGCGGCAAAGGTTTCGAGGTCCCGGCGTTCGCCAAGGATTTTAGCCGCGTGATTTTGGTGTTCTGAAATTTTTTAGAGGTCTGGATCAAGGGTATTAGTATAAGATAATTGAAATTTGAGGAAAAATAGTTTTTAAAGTCGCTCTCAGCATGATTTTTACCCTGTTTTAAAGGTAAAGTTTATGCTGAGAACGGCTGGAATGGAGCGTTTTAATAAAATTTCGCAAAAACTTACCGGTAATGATGGTTTCAAACGCCAATTTCTTCTCCAACAGGACGGGTCGCACGGCTTTTTGATAAACTTTACTTCCAGCGCCCGCACCACTTTTTGGATTGACAAAAATTAGTACTCGGCCGATTGAGGACTCTAAAAGAGTATCAAAGTTTGAAAATAACCAGAAATAAAACTTCCGTGGAGTGTTAAAACTCACTAGGGTTGTCCACGACCTCGTCAGCAATGCGGTTTTTTCCACAATTTGAACCGCAGCACGGCATTTGAAGCTAAAAAAATCCTTTTTAAAAACCGGAAAGTATGAATATTCAAATTTTACAAGACGAGAATTCGAAAAACGGTCCAAAGCTTCGTTATGAAATCATAACGAGGCTGTTTGCACGAAAATAAAAAGCGAAAAGCAGGATGTTGATCGCTTAAATGTAAGGTCCCTTATCAGTACGGGCCAGCTGGAATTAGGCGTCAAAAAGTTTTTTCGTAAAGAGATAAAAACCGGCGAGGACAAAAGCGACGGAAATTCGAAGCCGATTTTGCGTTATTCTGTTTGTTGCGGAGGAATTTACGATAAGAGTGCTGGACGATACGACTCATGACATGGGTAGAAATGAGTGGAATGTGAGGGAAATGACGCGTGATTATCATATGGAAACGCGGAATGTAACTCTTGGGAGGGTTTTTAAAAATGGAGGTGGTTTGTAATGGCTTTGCAAGAAAAAAATGACATCTACCCGTGAGCTTTATGTAAATTGGACAGGGTGAAAGTTGTCAGAAATAAATTAGATGGAGTGTGGAAATTGGACAGAGTGAAATGTGAAATTGGATAGATTTTTTCGCTGCAATCGTATGAAATGTCACTATTAAAAGTATAACATATGCTATTTTTTGAGTGAAGAAAAAAATCTGTCCAATATCACTCTGTCCAATTTCCATACTCCGTCCAATTTATTTCTGTCCAATTTTACCCTTTCCAATTTCCATGAAGCCCAGGTAGAGGGCATTTCTTTCCTGCAAAGCTATTACAAACCACCCCACTTTTACCCAACTAATTCCAAAATTTATTCCGCTTTTCCATATGATAACCTCGCGTCATTTCCCGCACATTCCACTAATTTCTACCCATGTCATGAGTCGGTATCTTGCCAAAAGCCCTAAAATTGTCAATAAATCAACGGTAGCCGAGTTTTTGCTATGAAAACTCTGTTTAGTTGGTTGTTCAAAGGTTCAGGGGTAGCCGAACAGGATGTTTCTCAAAAAACAGAAGCTCAAAGCGACAAAGCCGAGGCTTTGGCTAATTCGAACTCCCATGTTCTTCCTCCCACCTTTTTGTCGCCAAAAAGGACTCTTTTTAGCCATCCCTCAAAAACATAGCTCTTCAAATGGACAAAAAATGGGATGTCCGATCTTGCTTTTGTTTCTATGCTTTTACCCGTTGTTTTTCTCACTGGCGTTTTGAGTCATAAGCAAACAGAGAACCGGCCCAAATCAGGGTAAAGGTGACCTAGACTACGGAAAATTTACTCTTAAATTTTTCATAGATTTCATCAAAATGTATATGTGCGCCTCAAAAGATATAAAAAAATTGAAAATTGAATAATGGCAAATTTTTATTTACAATTTCCTTCAAAGAGATTGTAAAAATTCAAAGACTTTAGGCCCCAAGTAGGGTTCGAAATTATCATCCCACCCTCCATAAACAATGTCGAGATCACGTTCTGACCGCGGTCACATGCTCTTCTAACCCATTGTAAATTCCAACACCCTTCTGGCGGGTTCTGATCAAAAAGATTGGCAACAAATCGCCGTAGCCGAAAAAAACGGCTTATCAGAAAGTTTCCAAGCGACTTTTCCGATGTCTTTTTTTTTGTTTGCCCTCCGATTTTATGAATGTCGTAATCCGACGGAGAATTTTGTTGAGGAAAAGAGATTAAATTTGTGGGCTGATTCAAAATTTGATATCTCTACTTTTTTGTGGTGATGGGATAGCCGGGCAGCGAAACGACTTGTTTGTCCGATAAGCTGGTAATCTCTGTTATACAAGGAATAGTTTGAGGTCAGTGGGATTACCAGAGGTGTGGTGATTTGCAAAACAATTGGGGAAAATGCGAAAAAAGTGGTTGTGAAAATGACATTTTGAAAGTTTTCAATTGAAATAGAGGATTTTTTTGGGTATGAAAACGTGGTATAGTTGCGGACTGATCGAGTGGCAAAAACGTACCATTTTGCATCCGGGAAGTATCAAAAAAATGTAGCAAAATGCCTCCCTCTCCAACTAAAACCCCGTTTTGAAAGGGCGCCCTTTTTCTCACAAAAAGAGCGGGCGCGTCTTTGGAATCGGAGTTTTTCACTTGGAGAGGGACTATTTTGCTACATTTTTTGATACTTCCCGGATGCAAAATGGTAGGTTTTTTGCCACTGGATCAGATCCGTTACTGTAGAGTCAGGTTTGTGAAGGTTTACCTGCCCAAGTGGAGAATATCCTAGAAACTACGGGTTCGAATTCTCCTCAGACTACCAGTAAATAATTTCATTGACAACTCTGTAAATCAAATGGTAAACACTTGACTTCCGGCGGAACGACAAAAAACCAAAGAACGTTCTCCATCAAAAAGGATGGTTTTAACTTTATAGGGGATTTCACTATCCTTCAAACAAATAAAAGTCTACTTTCTGGCCAAATCAGGTCCTTACTGGACGAAAATAACTTATAATCCAGAATTCTTTGCGATATTTCAACAGCAACCAAAATGTACGTACAAAAAACTAATTGCTTGCAAATTTTCGACTTATCAATTGTATCAAAATTAAAGAACTCCTCGAAAATCGGCTTATCAATACCCGCATAATTAGATATTTGACCTTCCAGCGCTCCCGAAAACGCGGGGGAAGAAATGCGGGGCGATCGGAAACAAAGCGACTCCACAACAAAACGATCAATCGCCGAGTGTGACAAATGAATGTAGTTTTTGACTTTGTTAGACGAACAAGATCATGAGCGGAGTCGTAGTTGATACGGAGATCACTTGAATCTGTTGGGTAGAGTGGAAAAATTGAGATAATGTAAATAATTACTGAGGTGTTATGTATGACATTTTACTGTAAAAGGGGTCCAATTAGGATAAAATTTTAGTATGGCTAGAAAACAGTCCAACTAGGGCAAAATAAAAGTTCTGAAAACTTTAGCTCATGTTTTGCAGTTGCAGCCGAGATATTCGACGTTTTTGCAGGCAAGAGAGCGTGCAAAATGAGGAGGGACAGATAAAGCAGAAACGTTTTTTTCAACCATAAAATCCAGCCAAAAAAAATTTTTTCCTCTCTGACCAGCATTTTCATTATTCAACTTTTTTAGAGACTATGAAAATGAGGAGAGTCGGTCTGAGAGGAAAACAATTTTTTGGCGGGATTTTAAGGCCGAAAAAACGTTTCTTATTTATCTCTCCCTCCTCATTTTGCACGCTCTCTTGCCTGCGATGACCGTTGAATATACCGGCAGTAACTGCAAAGCGTAAGCTAAAATTTTCAGAAGTTTTATGGTGCCCTAGTTAGACAGTTCTTTGGCCATGTAAAAATTTTGGCCTTATTAAACCCTTTAATAAATAGTAGAATGTTATACATAACACTTTACTAGTTATTTACATTAATCTCAACTTTTCCGCTCTACCCAACGGATTCAAGTGATCCCCGTATTCTGAAATTTTCACGCAAAAAGAATTTTATCAGTTTGTCGGGAAAATAATGTGGATTCATCGCAGCAAAATTTCGACACAATCCCGCACCAAATCTCCGGCAGCGGCTACAACACTATGAAGGACAAATTCGAGATACGACAAATCCACATCATTTTCCCGACAGACTGATACGCTACAACTATTGTACAAAATCCCACATATAAATTATTTCCTTATCCCTATCTCTCTCCCAAAAGCCCCTCTTCGAAAGCAAAAATCGTCGTTGAAAAGCCCGCATCCCATCATTATTTATATACCAGCTGAGCGAAGTCAAATGAAGAATGACGGGGGGAACTTTTATTGGGAAAGTTCATACATGATGAAGGGCAAAAGGATGATCTGAAAGTGCTTTATAAGGTCAACAATGGACAGTTGCTACTATAATAGGGGTCAATGGGACTGTAGAGTGCTGCTGAAACATGAATATATTAAAGATTATAAGTACGGTTAATCCGTGTTGGAAGGGAAAATGTCCGTTTAAAATACTTTTTTTGGAAAGACCTCGTACAACGGCACTGTGATATCAAGGTCTAAAGTAAGAGATAAATTGTAAGAGATATTAAATTGTAAGAGATAAAAATTCAAATCTCTAACAGCCCAATCCCCCTTTTTTTAAAAGCCTATTTTGCTATGGGAACGTCTTGAACGCTTGTTCTTTTTTGTTCCGCTCTTCCGTTCCATGTGACTTCAAAAGGTGTGTAATGTGAATTCGAAATGAGGGCTCAAAACAGATCATCAACACAAAAACATTTGATACCATTAAATTTTTAGCCCATGCTTTGCAAGGAAATGTGGTCATATATAAAACCGAATACTGTTTATTTCATCCTCAACATAGTAAAACAACTTTGTTAACAAATGCGAGATCCTTGTGGAAATACTATATGGTAGAATACTTGGACATTAAGGAAAAGAAATTTGACATCCTGACTTTTCCTGCTCGGTACAAGCGTTAAAAATCAGTCCGGTGACTTTCCGGAAGACCTATTAGCATTTTCATAAAGTGCATGGACATTTGTCGCGGTCCGCATCGTGCACAAAAACCCTCGATTTTTTGCACCATTTTGCACCTTTTTTTTGTTTTGCACTGTGCATTTGAAGTGTCGCTGCGGTGCACAGTGCAAACGGCTTTTTTTAAGGTTTGCACGGTGCGTTAGGGACAGCTAAAAGAATTCAAAATGTACAGGGTGGGGCATCTTTGTGGCCCGATTTGAATTGGCTATAACTTCTTTCGTTTTTGGCCAAATCTTAAAATTCTTTTTTTCCCTGAATCCTCAGACAACCCCATTTTGTTTGGTACCAAATATGTTATACATAGTAAGTGTGCGAAAGCGACAAAATATCCATGCACTTTATGAAAATGGAAATAGTACTCCACATAACTCAATGTGAAATTTTTGGGATTTTTTGCTATTATATTATTTTTTGAAAAAAAAATGAATTTCTTTTCTTCGAAATACAAAAAAGAAGATTTTTCGTATTTTAGGAATACCAAATTTTCAAAAAAAAAATCCTTGAAATACATAAAAAAATGTTTT